TAGATATAGATATAGATATAGATATAGATATAGATATAGATATAGATTAGATATAGATATATAGATATATATTATCACCAGCTTATGCAGAGGTGGTATGTGTTTGTTTTAAGAGCTGGAAATCGAGAGGGGAATTTCATGCTTTTTGTTGTTGTTGTTGTTTTGCAGCCAAATTGCAAAAACCCTCTTGCACTCCTTTTTTGGGAAGATGAGTCACAAGTGTGACTCGCAACCAGGATGGGAAAGATTGCTGGGAGGAGGGTAGGAGGGGGAGGACATTCGCTTGCTGATCTCGGCCAGAACGACCAACATCCAACTGCCTCTCAAAAGAGAGAGCGCCAGTTTCTGGCTGCCACCCCGAGCCTGTCGTTCTGCATTTTTCCCCCCCACCAGCTCTCTCTCCCAGCCACCTCCTTTTCGTTCCCTCTCCCCAATTATTTTATCTGACCTTCGGATAGCAACTTATATAACCCCCAAAAATGCAGGAGCCCAGACAGGGTTTTTGTGTGCTCAGGCTGTGCGGCCTGGGAACCAGCAGGGGGTGCTGAGGAACATTCTCCATCCTGATGCTGCTGCTGCTGCTGCCGGCCCAACAGATTGGCTGATTTTTCTCCCCTTGTCCATCTAAGAGACACGCGGAGAGCTTTTTTTGACAGTTGTCTCCAGCTCTTCTGGTTGGCTGGTTGGCAGAAAGCAAGCGAAGTTGGCAAGGTTGGCAGAGAACAGCCGGCGCTCCTCAAAAGCTCAACGAGATCCAAGGAAGATGCTGGTCAGAGGCATCTTCCAGATCCAGTGAGAATAGAAACTCCGAGCAAAAGAGCAGGTCAAGTAAAAGGCAAAGGTTCCCCTCACACATCCGGGCTAATCATTTCCAGCTCTAGGGGGCGCTGCTCATCTCCGTTACAAAGCCGAAGAGCCAGCGCTGTCCGAAGACGTCTCCGTAGTCATGTGGCTGTCAGGACTACACACCTTCGAATGCGCACAGAACGCTGTTCCCTTCCCACCAAAGGGGTCCCTATTTTTCTACTTGCATTTTTTTTAATGTGCTTTCGAACTGCTAGGTTGGCAGAAGCTGGGACAAGGAACGGGAGCTCACTCGGTTACGCGACGCTGGGGATTCGAACCGCCGGACTGCCAACCTTTCTGATTGACAAGCTCAGCGTCTTAAACCACTGAGCCACTTGCAAAACTAAACCTACTCAGAGATTTACGTCAGGGTGTGCAAGCTATCCGTCCTTTCGGTCCATGGAAGATACTGCAGGGAGTCGTCGATCTTACGCCCACTCGTTTAGTGACTATTCCAAGTTACAAGGGGCACTGAAAAAACAGGGACTTGGGACCTGTTTTCACGCAGCACCCTTGGGGTCACAGGATCCAAATTTGGACACTTGACCTTCGTAAGACCACACCTGGAGTACTGCATCCAGTTTTGGTCACCACACTATAAAAAAGACGTTGAGACTCTAGAAAGAGTGCAGAGAAGAGCAACCAGGATGATGAGGGGACTGGAGGCTCAAACATAGGATGAACAGTTGCAGGAACTAGGCCTGGCTAGTCTAGTAAAGAGAAGGACCAGGGGAGACAGGAGAGCATCTTCCAACATTTGAGGGCTGCCACAGAGAGGAGGAAGGGGGTCAGGCTATTCTCCAAAGCACGTTCGAAGGCCAGACAAGGAATAATGGATGGAAACTGAACAAGGAGAGAGATTCAATCTGGAAATAAGGAGGAATTTTCTGACAGGGAGAACAATCAACCCATGGAACAGAAGTTGCCTTTGGAAGTTGTGGGAGCTTCATCCCTGGAGGCTTTCAAGAAGACACTGAACTGCCATCTGTCAGAAATGGCGTAGGATTTCCTGCTTGGGCGGAGGGTTGGACTAGATGGCCTACAAGGTCCCTTCCAACCGTATATCTGTATACCTGGGATCTGGGTGTGGCCAGTGTAATGGGGATAGCTAATTCATGGTTTGGTGTTCTTGTGAAGACAAGCCTTCGAACTCACTGCTTTATCTGATTGTCCTTCGTCTCTGCAAATGTAGGTGTTGGCTGGTCATCATCTCTTTACTTCCTTTAACTGCCCTTCTCCGTGGTGGCACCACAACTTTCCAAAAGGTATCTGAGGAGGCTCACCTGACAGTGTCTGCTTGTTGGGGATCCTTACCTGTGATTGTGCATTGACATTTGCCCCAAAGTTCACCAGCTCCCGCACGACATCATCTTGCCCGGCCAAAGCAGCAATATGTAAAGCCGTGTTCCCTTTCTGGGGTAAAAAAAAAAGCAAGGAAGGAAGGTAAATATATATATAGATATATAATCCAGCCTAGAAGAGAACCTTTAAAAAAAAAAAAGCAAAAAATAGCAATGAATCTGATGAATCAAGAACAGTGACTGTAATTTGGTACTGAAAAGTTCGTTCTCACAACTCTGTGTTTAGCCTAGATTGGCATGTTGTTGCATGAATTCAGCTCTTGAATGTAACTACAATTATGAGTAATCGTACCCTAGTTTCATCAACATCACTTCCTTCAAAGAGTTTTGGAGATTATTTTTTTTTAGAGAAACTCCTGGGAAAGACCTATAGCCAGTTTGGACACCTCCAAGATGATTGATTGATTGATTGATTCAATTTCTATAGTCCCCCATCTCAAACCTATTGACTCTGGGCAGTGAACATCACCACAATATCCCACAGTAACTGCAATTCTGCAAACTTTGAGAAGTAGTGTGAAGCCCAGACTAATATGCATTTATTAAAAGTCAAGAGGATAGTAAATAATATGGTGTGTTGTTGTTGTTTTTGCCCAGCCACAATCATAATAGAATCACTATTTTCCTTTATGGCGAGGACATTGTGCTAATTTGTTTGAGAATGTTCAGAGGTGAAGGCATATTCTGTTTTCTTCCCAGAGTGATAAACGAGTTAAAATAAATAAATGAATTAAAATGTAACGTTGTCACTTGTATCCTTACGATTTATATGGACTGCTTCCTAGTATGATTTGATGGCTTATTGTACCCTATGACTATAATTAATTGTTGTACCTGATGATTCTTGACTCTTGACGAATGTATTTTTTTTTTTATGGACACACTGAGAGCATTTGCACCAAGGGAAATTCCTTGTGTGTCCAATCACACTTGGCCAATAAAGAATTCTACTCCTGTTCTGTTCTGTTCTACTCTACTTTACTCCTATTCTATTCTATTCTATTCTATTCTATTCTATTCTTATTCTTATTCTTATTCTATTTTCCTATTCTATTCTTCTATTCTAGTCTATCCTATTCTATATTCCTATTCTATTCTATCCTATTCTATCCTATCCTATTCTATTCTATTCTATTCTATATTCCTATTCTCTTCTCTTCTCTTCTCTTCTCTTCTCTTCTCTTCTCTTCTCTTCTCTTCTCTTCTCTTCTATTCTATCTATTCTATTCTACTCTTATTGTACTCTATGACTATTATTAAGCGTTGTACCTAATGATTCTTGACTCTTGATGAATGTAACTTTTCTTTTATGGACACTGAGAGCATTTGCACCAAGACAAATTCCTTGTGTGTCCAATCAAACTTGACCAATAAAGAATTCTATTCTATTCTAATACCTGCCTTGAATTCCCCTGCCAGCATGATCACTGAGGAGAATTCTAGCAGTTTGGTTTTGGAACAAACTCTTTGCATTGAAATATTCCTAATCAATCCAAGCCAATGAATCTTTGTCCCTCCTCCTCTGGAGCTCTTACCTTGGTTGTTGTTTCCAGCACAATTTCTTTGTGCAATAGCTCAGCCACCATTTTTACATGCCCCTCCTTAGAGGCCAGATGTAAGGCATTCAACCCATTCTGGAAAAAGAAGAAAGGGTGTTAAACTATGGCTGATGTGTTAGCTCACGGTGCAATGCAACAGATTCAGCCCAGACAGGGATAAACGGGTTTGTGAGGTGGGGAGGGGGTTGAAGGAAAAACAAAACAAAACAAAAAACAAAAAATCACAGTGGTTGCATTTAACACAGCACGCTAGACTGAGTTATTGGATTAAACTATTTTCTGAAATCATGCAATACACTAAAACCGTAAACTAACTAAACAGGCTGGGTTTGCACAAAACACTGATGTCGTATTGCAACACAGAACCGTCACACTCACACAAAGCCAAGGTTAAAACTAAGCTTAGCTTACTGTACACATGCAGCTGCTAAGTCTGGGTAAACCTGTTGTGCAAACACAGCCTGTGTGTGAGACAAGAAAGAGAAAGAGAGAAAGGCCACATTCACACAACATGCTAAATTGGGACAACGTTGTAACTCCTGTTTGGGAGAAGTAGCATGTTTATCAACCCAAAGTTATTTCATTCTTGTATTCTGTCCGTTGGGCAAACCCAGGAGCATTGATCATTTCAGTCCCCAAATTAGCAGGGAGCAGAGGGAGAATTTTTTTAAAAAAAATGTGCTACTATATTCCTGCAATGCGCACGAACGTCCCACTGTCACGTATTTTGCAAGAGTTACATTTTGCATTTTCAACAGCGGCACTGGCAAAAGTGGGGGTGTCTAAAAAAAAAAATCCAGATTGGGGGAGGGGGTCACAAGTGACACATAAGCCCTGGTCCATTTTTATATCCTTTGGGTCACATCATACACATGCACTAAACATTCACAGACTTACACCAAGAAAAATCGCAGTCAACCTCCCACCCATCCGTGCACGGGTTAACTTCTCCTCGTGCCGAAAGAACCGTAAACCTGAATACTTTTCAATTACTTGACCACACCTAGAGCACTGCATCCAGTTTTGGTCACCATACTATAAAAAAAGATGTTGAGACTCTAGAAAAAGTGCAGAGAAGAGCAACCAGGATGAGGAGGGGACTGGAGGCTGAAACATACAATGAATGGTTGCAGGAACTGGGCCTGGCGAGTCTAGGGACGAGAAGGACCAGGGGAAACAGGAGAGCATCTTCCAATATTGGAGGGGCTGCCACAGAGAGGAGGAGGAGGAGGAGGAATAGGAGGAGGAGGAGGAGGAGAAGGAGGAGGAGGGTCAAGCTATTTTCCAAAGCCCCCAAAGGCCAGACATGGAACAATGGATGGAAACTGATCAAGGAGAGAGTCAACCTGGAAATAAGGAGGAATTTTCTGGCAGTTAGAACAATCCACCAACGGAACAGAAGTTGCCTTCGGAAGTTGTGGGAGCTTCATTACTGGAGGCTTTCAAGAAGAGACTGGACTGTCAGAAACGGTGTGGGGTCTCCTGCTTGGGTGGGAGTTGGACTAGATGACCTACAAGATCCCTTCCAACTCTGTCCATCTGTTACTTAGGCCAACCCAACCTACTTGTGGTATTTCTGCTAAGTCTGACTCGCCTTGTCATGGTCTTCTCAACTTGATGTCTTCTAGGAGAGTGGGGAGACATAACTAGAGAACACCTGGTTGGGGAAGTCCTCTAAGCCCAGTGGGGGAAGTCTCCAAAGTTGACATCTTTAAGACTTTGTGGACTTCAACCATGCTAGCTGGGGAATTCTGGGAACCGAAGTCCACCATGCTGCCATATTTGGAGACCCCTGCTCTAGCCCAACCATCCATCTTGATAATGTACCCCACCTTCAAAGGTTGGTATTTTCCATCTGCCTTGCTTTTCTTCCACTTCTGAAGAAGTCAGGTTTTTTTTTTAATCGATTCCGTGTGCTGCTCGATTCTAACACCAGAGGCCCATAACTCTGTGTTTTAGATCTCGATTCTGCTGAAAATGTAATTCTCATGGTAGACTTAACTAATCCGGTATTCTACACGCACTGTGAACAAGAAATGTTAATGAGATGCCTTCAAGGACAACTCAAGTGGAAAGGCATCTTCTTATTCGCCTGCAACTGGTCCTCCAAGAAATGGTGCCTCAAACACTGGTTATAAATCATAATAATCATAACTGTACATCATAATACAGGTAGTCCCTGATTTATGACCAGTTCATCATCTTTTAATGACCCCATAATTCCACGCGGGGCGGAGTGTGGGCAACTGAATGAAGCTAGAGTGTTTTAATGGCCAGATGCCCTTCCTGTTGCCAGTGTGGAGTTTTGTTCAGCAGATATATTCTCATCCTGCCCAGAGAAATACCTGCCGCTACCTAGGATTGAACTCACAGCCTCCTGATTGTGAGGCAAGAGCTCCACTTCTTGGCCACCACGCCACTGATTTATGACCAGTTGGGGGGGGGGCAATATTTGAAATGCATCACTGTTTTGTAGGACATCTAGTCCAACCTTCCACCCGAACAGGAGACCCTACGCCCTTTCTGACAATCTCTTCTTGAAAGCCTCCAGTGATGAAGCTCCCACAACCCTAATCTACAGTAGCTGCCTCAGAGTTTTGCTTCCTATGGGTCTATTATTGGGAACCAGGGTGGGATGCAGCCAGTACGGACTGGTTTGAGATCATCGATAGGTCCGGTGATCAGTTGGTCCCGTCCACCTGCCCCCTGCGCTCATCTGTCCTATATTTCTTTCATTTGAAGCCCAGCTGATAGGCAGGGCAGAGCGGATTGCCGCTTACTCACCGGGGCTGCAGGAGAAGGTAAGTTTTAGAGCTGGTTTCAAACACACCATGCGCGCGCATGCACCAAACCGGTTGTTACACCGGTTGAATCCCACACCCTCCCTTTTACAAATACACATGCATTTTATTTCCATTTCATTAGGCAGAAGAAAAATCCTTCAGCAATCCAGGTTTTCATTTTTCCGCGAAACCGTCCGACCTCTAAAGCCTCCCACGGCAGATGAGTGATGCCCGCCGCTGGTTTCTCTGGCAGTGATGAGGATGGAATCAAGGTTTGATGCAGATGGCAATGATGGTCAGATGGCAGGGTGGAGGCCACTGGCCTTGTGGTCTAGGTCTGACCACATGCATCCCACTTTCATTGCATACAGGACGCATGAGGTTGGACCTTGACCACAAGGGTGACATGCCCCAGAGTAGACAAGACAAAAGGTGCAATCGAACGAGACAACGATGGGAAGAATTGACCATGCAAAGGTAATGAGGTCGTCACAAAACACGCTTGAGGATTTCCCAGGATTGGTGAGCAGTCAACCCCATGTCACATTAAGTACATAATCTAACATTCTACTTCTACGCGTGTTGCCTTCTTGCTGTTTCCATGCTGGTTGATCTCACGGCGCTGGCCTTACTAATCAGCTGAACTGATTAACTTCCAGGCCAGCTTCAGGGCATCTCAAATCACAATGATTACTTCTTTGAGATGCTAGAGGTCTGAAAAACCTGGGGGAGGCTGGTTGGTCATTGGCAGGACTTTCTCTCTCCATCCCACCTTCCAGCTTCTTAAGCCACTCGGAAGAGATCCAGCCACCGTTACAATTTGCTCCTTTATATCCCATGAATTTTCAATACCACAAAGGAATGGCGGCTTAGCAGCCCTGCATCTTCCCTCTGTAGCAACTGCTTTGATTTATTTTTTTTCCTGCCCCAGAACTCAACATAGAAAGGCACACAATATGAAATTTTAAAACAATGAATGGACAACACATGAACGAATGGAGGAGAAGGTTGCATTCTTTGATAGGTCGGCTTGGAAGAAGGACTTGGAAGTAAGCTTGGCTTTCTTTGCATTTTAGGGCCCATATTAATGCATTAAATTACGAATTGGCTCTGGGCTGCTTCTGAGAAATTAGAAAGTGAAAAAGGCAGTGGAACGCAAGTATTTTCAGCAAAAACTTCCACTGTTGGCCTACAGCCAGTGGCTTTTCTCCTCTTTCAACACACACTGATGTTTACATTTTTGCACCAAGCGCTGAAAATCCTTTTTCCAAAGCAAAATGTCCACAGTGGTTATTCTTCCTTCACATCTCTTTTCTCCCGTCCAGGGGGACACTCTCCAGACTAATTTTTTGGCTTTTCCCTCCTTTGCCATTCAGACAATTTACAGCAGATAGGATGACAGTGCTGCCAATGCCCCACCCTCCTTTCCCCCCACCCTCCTTCCAACTATAATGTGAGATCATGATGGTTTTGAATGACAGTTCCCCTCTGATCCCCGTAGAGAAGGAAATACCTCCAGAAGGTATTGCATCAACCGTTCCCACAAGGTCTCTCTCTCTCTCTCTCTTTCTCTGTCTCTCTATCTCTCTATCTCTCTCTGTCTCTGTCTCTCTCTGTCTCACTCTGTCTCTCTCTCTGTCTTCTGATTCTCTCTGTCTCTCTCTCTCTGTCTCTATCTGTCTCTGTGTCTCTCTGTGTGTCTCTGTCTGTCTTTTTCTGTGTGTGTGTCTCTCTCTCTGTTACTCTCTCTGTCTCTCTCTGTCTCTGTTTCTCTGTCTCTATCTCTCTCTGTGTCTCTGTCTCTCTCTGTCTCGGTCTCTGTGTGTGTGTGTGTCTCTCTCTGTCTCTCTCTCTGTTACTCTCTGTCTCTCTCTGTTTCTCTCTCTCTCTGT